TATTGCAAATCTTAACCCATTGACGTCAATGTAGATTTATAGGAAGGATATTACTATTACTATTATTATTGTTACTATATTATTATTCAACCGTCTTATTTATTATTGTACTGTACCTTATTATACTATTATTATCATTATATATAACAAATATTGTAAATATCAAAACCTATTGACGTTGCCCTGTCCATTGTAGATTTATATGGCAATAAAGGATATTATTATTATTATTATTAGATCTCGATTCACTTTCGGAAATCATTATGAAATTTCACAATCTGAAGCTGTTTGTATCTTTGAAATAGTAAAAAAAATGTGAGATTAGTAACAGTTTCAAACTGTCAGGGTCAGCATCAAACCAAGGGCACATCCATCAAACGCGAAGATTAACATACAACACATAATTTATTCCATGAATGTACACTGGTCATCAAAAACTCAATTTCGATTATAACTAAAGCTCTTTTCGCCGAATCACCGAAAGGTCCACTCAAAGGACCAATGAAACGCTAAAAAAACATCTAAGCTACTGGGCACCTACCTTTGGCGGGCTTAAAATTTTCGTAAAGAAGTAGATCTCGTCTTCCGTGACAGTCGGAGGGTGCGAATATTTCTTGAGGCCATCTGCAGGAAGTTTCTTGACTTGTCGATTGATTTCGTCATACATCGACGTACAAATGAGCACGTCCGACTCGGGAATTTCAGTCAATCGGTCTATAAGGAAACATCACACTGCTATACTTACCATCGGGATACAACACATTCTTTAGTTTTCATCATTGTATTAAATGCATCAATAAAAAATAAGCGAAACTCTAATAGTCTGGTTGTGTAAAAGTTTTTGTGAGAGCTTCAAGATACCATTAAAAAGATAGAAAAAGCAAAATCTCTGTTAATGGTACAATTGGTTATTTTGTTTTCGAGTTCAAAATTAATCACTGTTGTTCAAGCGAGGCTGTTAAAACAAAAAATTATATTTTGTACTGGAACCTAAGCAGAGTTACTACTCTAAGCTATTCCACCAACATTTTAAGAAAACTGAATCTTCACATGTTCAACTATCACTAATAGATTATAGACGGACTTCCACGGCCAGAGATAACAGTCTCAAAGCTATTTTCCAGGTTTTTATGTCTGAAGTTTCGTCTACGACTGGGACAGAGAACATTATCTAACACAATAAGGTGTTGTGTCTCCAGGTTCATTCCGTTGGTGGTGGGCGTGGTTTCGTTCCTACTGGTTGAATTAAATGGCGATATTAAACCAATGAAGTGCAGGTTGCCAGATTTTATCAATGTTAATTCACTCTTTCTTTCCGTTGAAATTATTTCTGTGTCCCCTGAATTTTTTTTTCCCTCCCATTATTGGATATCTGTAATGCAATGAGCCTATGACTAGACTTCAAAGAACTGCTAATATTTATCAGGGTTATATTCATCTGTTTGCTTCATATCCATCTTCATTCAAAAGGAATACTAAGAAAATAAACATTGTAAGCTTGTACAATTAGTGGATACCCTCTGTAACAATTTACTGCACGACAAGACTACAGATTAGATTTTAGTTAAAACGTTCATCATGTAATTGATTTTGAAAAAGATATAATTTCAATTTGATTTTGAACTGAGAGGGTGGCAGTTTTTTTAAAAGTTCAGGAATAGCATTGAATACTTTAGTTATCTGGTAACTGAGGGATCGTTTGAATAACTGGGTTCTGAAAATGGGAGGTGTTGAAGGGCCTTTGAACCTGATGTTAATATCATGAACATCGGTTCGAAACTTCACTTTCCTATGCAGGTACGAAGGGATTGTATATAAGAGAATCTTATGATAGAGGCAGGCAGTATGTAGTTTTCTCCTATTCTCCATATTTAGCCATCCAACTTCCTTGAGCTTGTGAGATATTCTGTTTCTTTTTCTTATTCCATATATAAGTCTTAAACAAGTATTTTGGACTTTCTGAATTTTTTCTTCACAGTGACTTGTCAGGTTCGGCCCATAAAGAGTTGCTGCAAAATTCAATTGTGCTAGTACTAACCTCTAACACAATTTAATAGGTAATAGGTAGGTAATAGGTGGGTAATAGGCAGTGCCTATTACCATATATCAGATTGAGGGAGGCATAGCCTCGTTAAATGAGTTTGTCGGTGTGTTTTTCAAACCTCATATGAGAATCAAATAAAACGCCAAGGTTTCTGGCTTCACCAACAACATGAAGTGTATCTGCATTTATGTGAATTTCAACTGAATTGATGATTTTACTTCTATTGATTTTTGACCCTAAAATGATAACTTTAGATTTTTCTGTGTTAATAAAAAGCGAGTGTGAATTTGCTAGTTCAATAAAGTGTCTAATATCAGAGTATATGATTCCGCAGGCTTCTTTGACATCTTCTGGATAAAAACTGTGATAAAATTGAGTGTCGTCTGCATAAAGATGTACATTACAGGTTTCAAGTTTCCTTAGCAAGGTTGACGAGTAAATAGTAAAGAGCAATGGACCCAAAACTGATCCTTGTGGTACTCCCGCCTTCAGTTCCAGATTATTTGGCACTTGGAAATCCAATCAAACGTACTGCTTCCTACCTTCCAGATAATTGCCCATAAGTTTGACAGCGTTCTCAGATATCCCCATATAATGTTATATATTTAGTAGTAGTTTATGATTCAAGGTATCGAATGCTCTGCTGAGGAGAACTAATATCGTTCGTGCACTTACCCTGATCCGTTGCTCTCATTATGTCATCTCTAATATGTAATAGTGCAGTTGTACAACTATGACCTTTTTTGTATATTTGGCACCGATCTAATGGATTAAGATCGGGTGACCTCGCTAGCCAATTCCATCTTCCCAATCGGCTTATCCATCGATTGTCAAAATGTCTGTCCAGTTTTGCGCTCACTTCTCTTGTACAGTGTACTGGAGCTTCGTCTAAAGTATCCTTATTTCAAAAAATATATGAATATGTTGGAGAGAAAAGTTGCTTGGAATTGAAAATTATGTTAAGATACGAAGTCATGGCCTGCTATTCGATTTTTTTTTCTTTTGGAAAATTTTGAATTACCCCCGTATGATACATATTTTTACTATTTTGATTTAATATGTATTTGAAGTAGCCACAATCAAATCAGTTTGGAGGACCATGCAGAGAAGGGGATTC